GAGGAATGTAGCTCAGAAGTAGAGCATATTTTGCATGTTTGAGGCACTAGATTCCATTCTTGGTACCAACCCCTGCTAAAACTATGAAAACAGAAAAACGGAAAAGAAAGGAAGGGAAGGAGGGAGGAAAGGAAAGAAGGAAAAACAGAAAGAAAAAAGCAAGAGAGAAAGAAAGAAAGAAAGAAAGAAAAGAAAGAAAGAAAGAAAGAAAGAAAGAAAGAAAGAAAGAAAGAAAGAAAGAAAGGAGAGAGAAAGGAAGGAGAGAGAAAGAAAAAGGAAGGAAGGAAGGAAAGAAGGAAGGAAGAAAGAAGGAAAGAAAGAAAGGAAAAGAAAGAAAGGAAGGAAGGCGAGAAAAGGAAGGAAGGAAGACTGAAAGAAAGAAAAATGAAAGAAAGAAAAAAGGAAGAAAGGAAGAAAGAAAAGAAAAAAGAACAAACGAGTTCTATTTGTTGCTCTACTATTCCAGGTGAGGCTTGCCTTCCGCTAATATCACTGGGCTTATTCCAAATAGGAGGCAGATCTTAGTCAGGAGACAGAGCGCATCTCTCCTTAATGTCCCAGTAACCTCCCCACCGGACTTGTACCATATTAAGGGCCCTTTCTGCCCTACTTGCTGTTCCACCATCCCAGGTGGTGTTTGCCTCTGACTTATGTTACTGGACCTATTCTAAACCTGAATCAGATCCCCTCCCACTAGGGTCCCATCAGCCTCCACACCTGACCTGCACTACATTGAGGGCCCATACCATAGTTCCTAAAGCACATGACTGCTTACAAGGCCCTGCAACAGATCTACCCAACAAATTTCATGATGTTCACAGTCATTCTTCCTGTCATTCTGTTAAGATAGGCAGAGAAGGCAGAGAGCAACCCCTAGTTTAATCACTCAGCATCTTCTAGGGGGATTAACTACAAAGACTCACCTCCAGAACAGCAAGAACACTAGAAAAACCAGTGAGGAAAACACATAGAAACACGCCAAGCTCAATGAGTGAAAACAATATCACTGAAGACATAAACAAAATCAGTAAATCCTCAGACAGAGTCTTTAGTTACACTATAATGAGGATGGCCAATGAGTTCAAACAAATTATAGCTCAGGTTGTCAGCAAAGCACAAGAAAGTATGAGAGTAGAAATGAAAAATCTGCTACAGTTAGAAGTGAAGAAATTGGTAGGTAATAGAAAAAGTCAATAGAATTTCTGAACAGCAGAATAACAGAAGCTGAGCAAAAGATCAAGGAACTTCAAGATAAGGAGAAAACTGCTAGGAAACAGCAGAAGGCGGGAAAGAGTTTGGAAAGAAACTATTTTCTTTTTAAAAAGCACACCGGAGAACTATGAGATCAGTTAAAAAATAGCAATATGAAAATAATCAGAGTCCCGAGGAACAGGAAGGTGCATATGATTGAAGAAACAGTCATTAAAGAAGTCATTGATAAGAACTTTCCAAAGCCGAGGATTACAAGAACCGAGATCCAGGAGGCCCAAAGGATCCCAGTGAAAATAGACCCAATTAGCCATATTCTAAGATACATTATACTCAAAATGAAAAAATTGAAAGACACAGAATATTGAGCAGCAAGATCATAAAAGGAACTTACATACAAAGGAAAATCCATCAGATGTACAGCAGCTCTATCAAGTGACACTCTACAAAACCTCAACAAAATGAACATCTCACCAAGAATATTCTATTCTGCTAGATTATCACTGAGATTTGAAGGAATTGTACGGAGCTTCATGAATAGGAAACTCATAGCCTTGAAACCAATTTTTCAAGAAGTATTAAAAGAGCTTCCTTTAAAGAACAGGAGAAACTTCCTATCATGTGGCATTGAGTAAGGCATTCAGTAATGGTGCATATGGTTGTCCTCTACTCAATTAAGAAAGTTTAAAAACATATAGGAATTAATAATCATGAATTAAATTTTATTTATTTTCTGATATTTTATTTGGCATTAATTTAAGAGTTTTTGGACAAGTAACATGAAATAAATTTATTATATGCCTGTCAAGGGGCAAAAAAAACCCCCTTTATTTTGGAAGATATGATAATTACTGCAATAAGATTCGAGTACAAAATGAAATTTAAAGCAAGATGTTTTACATGCTAGAGTTAGTTATGAAAACTTAGTTATGTAAATAAGAATAGACAGTTTGCTATTTTGTATGAAATTATTTACATTTATTCACATAGGTAAAAATAATATATCAGTCACTACAAATGTACTTTTGTTGATTTATTTTCTGTTAATTCCATTAGCTATTTATTTACATTTTGTTGGAGCAAGTAATACAAAATAATTTTTTTATATACCTGCCAAAGAAGCAGGCTAGGGAGTAAGCAGAGAACCTAGGGACAGTGGTGGAGGGAAGGGGACATTGGTAATTGGATTGACACTGGAACATTGTGTGCCTAAAACAACTCTACTATAAACAGCTTTGTAAATCATGGTATCTTAATACAAATTAAGGAAAAAGAAAAAAGGAATCCCTTAGCTATATGCTGTTTACAGGAGACGTTGAAAACACAAGGAAACGATAATTAAAAACAAAAGAATAGAAAAAGATAGTCAATAAATACTAACTAGAAGTCCATAGTAAAGAAGACAAATTGTGTCTTTGAGTTAACACCTCAATACGTTAATTACTTTAGCCTTATAATAATTCTTAATATCTTTTAGAAAACTTATTTTAGCTTTAAAAATTTGTTTCCTTTGACATCATTTGTATATTACTTTTATATTCTTTTGTGAATTTACTCAGAACATATGGGAAAGCATTGGATTGTAATTGCTTTAGGAAGAAAGCTAGCTCTATTTTATTGAGAATCCCAATTCATTAGTTTAGTGTTTTCTTCCATTAATTTTAGTTTTCTTTAATGATACTCTAATAAAATGTTACAGTGTTTCATATCAGTAATTCTTAGATACACACACATATTGTAACTTTGCTTTAAAATATTATGTAAGTTATAAGTCTAAGCTTGTTGCCTCTGTACTTTATATCTTGTTTATAATTTATAATTGTAATTTAATTATAATTATTGCCCCTGTATCTTGTTTTTGAAAGTCTAGTTTCCAACTATCATGATAGTATTGACTCTCTTTTCTCATATCACACTGTAGATCATGAAATAATATACTTCTCATTATGTAACTTTTTTCATTAAGTATTATAGTCTCAAGTTTCATTGAGTTTCCACAAATGACATAATTTTATTATTTGTACTATTTATGTAGTATTCCATTATTTATGAATATTGATACATAGGTTCACTGTGGGTGGGTATACGATCTGAGAAATACACAGTTAGATTTTTTATTCATTGTGTGAGTATTGTTAGTGTGAAAGAGGATTTTCCTGTGCTGGTGGGTTCTTGAGAATTGTATGAAAGATTTGCATTCAAAACCCAGTGGATGAAAAGTTAGAATTTATTATACGGTAGGTGGGGGCCAGGTCCCTCCCCAGATATTCAGGCCTTCCTTTTACATCTGGACGATGACCAGGTCCTGTTCCCAATGCTGCCTGTTCTAGTGAATGACTTCCCCATCCTGTGCTGCACAGTCTACTTGCTTCCTGTGCATGATGGCCAAGTTCTGTCCCTGCTTTGTTTTCCCTATCCAATGTAAACTTCCCTCAGTCTCTTGCCATGGCCACATGTGTGTGGGTGAGACCCTTGTGCCCAGCATCCTGCCCCTGTCTGGGCTTATGAGGCCTGCCTGTAGGGCTCACAGCCCTAACTGAGAGAGGAGTGAATTCAGAGAGTGCTGCTCAGGGGGATGGAGGTGGGGAGAGGGAGAGGGATTAAGAAAGGGAGGGGGAGAAGAGAGAGAGAGATACAGAGAGACAGAGAGAAGGAGAGGGATTAAGAGAGGGAGGGGGAGGCGAGAGATACAGAGAGACAGAGAAAAGAGAGAAGGAGAGGAGGGGAGAGGGGAGGGGAAGAGAGGGGAAGGGAGGAGGGGAGAAGAGGGGAGGGGAGGAGAGGAGGAGAGGGGAGGAGAGAAGAGGGGAGGGGAGGGGAAGGGAGGGGAGGGGAGGGGAGGGGAGGGGAGGGGAGGGACACAGAGACAGAGAGGAGAGAGAGTGACTGGGGATTTCTTTTTATATGATGCCAAATCCTACTCCCAGATGTCCCATTATCTATTCTGATTGGCTACCTGTCTCATGGGCGGAGATTTAAAGTGACATGGCTCTCCATGCTTATGCTCCTGCTGTATCAGCATCACAGGGAGTATTTACATAAAATTAGATGACATAGCCAACCACACACCTAAGCTATGTATAGGGTCACCATCTTTTTGGCTATCTTTTGCTAACTAAAAAGGTTCCCCCCCATGGTTATATGTGCCATTAAAGTAAAGTAAGTAAAGTATTTGAAGATATTACAGCTAGTACTGATATTAAATAAAATATTTGGCATCTGATTTAAAAATAAGAATCCCTTATATATAAAACTTTTGAGATTATTCTGAATATCATGTTTATTGAGAGTACAAATAATTACCATTTAATTTGTGGTTTTCAGATCTTTGTGATGGTGTTATTCAGGCTTACCTCATTGATCATCTGTATTCATTCATCTATCCACCAACCTATCTATCCGTCTATCCATGCATATTTGGTCAGATGAAGTGATGATTATTATGCAAAAAAATTAGATTCATTCAATATATTTGAGAATAATGAAGAATAATCTAAAAAGTAGAATAGCAAATTCAACAGGGACTTCTGTTTTAGTCACAAAGATGACTTTTTAATAATGATAAACCTCAGTCTCCCAAAATATATAGCATAAGGGTGTGATGGATATATGTATGCTGCTGATTATTGTTGGGAGTGGTATGGGAAAATGGCACACAGGGCGTTTGGACAGAGGGAAAAGAAAAGAGTTTCTTGTGGGCTGTAATGGTTTCTATGAAGAATGATAAAAGCCAAGACAAGATGATAATTTTGCGAAAACATAATAACAATGTTTTGTTTTGTGAATTGTAGCGGACTTTGGCCTGGCAAAACAAAAACAAGAGAACAGTAAACTCACGTCTGTTGTTGGAACAATCCTGTATTCCTGGTAAGGACAATTATATTATGTCTGTCCAACATTCGTCTTAACTGGTTTGGGCTTTCACTACTTTTATGGGCTCTCAAAAGGAAGATAATTTTAGGACAAGATGTTTATTTTATGTTTTCTTTAGTTGCCTAGGTAATATATAGAATTTGATAGCATTATGGTTCTTTAAATAAGAACATTAAATGATATTTCCTCCAAGGTGTATTTCCATGTCATTAATGGGGATTACTTTTATAAATTGATATGACAATTGGCACATTTGAATGGTGGTTGAATGAATCCAAATGATTTTGTAGTCTTGATGTCTAATAAAACACTTGGAACATTTTGTTTTGGCTTATTGGTAAGATGATGCCTTTTCTTTTTTCCACCCAGGGCTTTTTGGTATGTTCTAATGCCCATTTCAATATCTAGCAAGTATTAGGAGCTGAAAATTTTTATAATGTGAATTTATAAATGACATATGCACTTGAATTTATGTTTACAAGATTGGCGGCTTCTTGAGTAAATGTTTCTATCATAATGAATAGAGACAATTGCAACTTCCTTAGCGTGCTTTGAATTTCCTTTGTAATTCATGAGTTATTATGAAACGAGACTCCTCATGTTATGACCGCATATCATTTGTCTGAATCTCTTGAAAACAGAGATTTGTTAGTCAATGGGCACAGCAGATTTCAGGGAGATCTGAAGTCTCATTCAGCAGGTCATAACGACTCTTTTTCTCTTCCTTTTAGATCTAGTCTATTGTGCAGTTAGGTCCTGGGAATAGAATGTAGAGCATATCTTCTCAGGGGACGGTAGAAATTGTCTGGAATTAATAGTGTCATTTTACAAAGTTTTTAGAGTAGTGCTCTGGAGGGTGAATTTTCATTTATTTTACTAGAAATTCCTTACATCTTTCCTTGAAACTAGCTATTTGAGAAAGCACAGAGTTTGGTGGCCAAGCTAAATCTGTTATCATTACAACTGCAAGTTTATCTGTTTGCTTAATTTCTTAATAATAAGATTTACTCACCCATTACTTACTGCTGGAAGAAAATATTCTTTTGTTTCACTTAGCAGTCTTTTCAGTAATAATGAAACTTCAAACGTAAAAGTGTTAAGTAGTCATATATTCCTAAAGAAGTTTGATTGTTAAAGTTACAGAACAAATAAAATTCAAAGTGACATTTTATGGGCTAAACTCATATAAGATTTATTATCAGCTCTGAATTAAGTTTAGAATTGCTAGCAATGATAGCATCAGCTTTGTGCTTCTGTGTGAGGAGTGTTGAGTACAGAGAATCTATAGAACATGTAGGAAGAAATTTAAACATGATTAATTAGCTCAAAGGTGGATTTACATTTTCCTTTGATTTTAAAATTAATAGAAGTTAGGGGAACCGAGTCTAAGAATATAGTATACCAGTTGCTAAGCTATTATTTAATTTGTATGTCATGCTTGTTTTAATAACAGCATGTGTTTGTGCGTATATATGTGTGATATATATGTGTGTGTGTGTGTGTGTGTGTGTGTGTGTTTGTTTTAGTGATCCCATCCAGTGGTACTTTGGGGTCTGCTCCTGACTCAGTCATGTGTAGCAGGTGACCATGCATGGCTGGGGGTCAAACTTGGGACTCCATCCCTGGGAATATCTATATCCCCAGCCCCTACAATATTTATTTTGTTGCCATTTCTCTTTATAGCAAGCTATTTTCCTTTGAATTGCATTTAAAAGAGTTCTTTGAGAGACCAGAGAGATAGTACAGAGGGTAACGTATTTGCTTTTACATGGCAAGTACCCCTGTTCTATCTTTGGCATTTCATTTGATCCTCAGGACACTTCCAGGATTGATCTCTGAGTGGAGCTGAGTGTGACACCCAAACCAGAAAACCAAACACACAGAGACACACACACACACACACACACACGCACACACACACAGAGTGATAATCCTTTTTGCTTCCTTCTCTCACCTTCCCATTCTCCTAATTGTTAGAAATATGGCTTGAATTTATTATAGGTTTCATTATCAATCTGGGTTCAAATGACATCTTTTCCGGTGCTTGATGTATTTTTTTTTATTATTAGTGAAACACCATGAGGTAGAGTTGTAGATTTACAATTTTTTTGTGCTTGGGTTTCTATTATACAATGATCAAATACCCATCCCTCCACCAGTGCCCATTTTCCACCACCATGGATAGTATCCCTCCCACCCCCACCCCTCCCATCCCACCCTGCCTCTGTGGCAGGGCAATCCCCTGTGTTCTCTCTCTCCTTTTGGGTGTTGTGGTCAGCAAAAGAGGCTTTGAGTGGCGAACATGTTCAGTCCATAGTCTACTTTCAACATGCATCTCCCCTCCTGGGAGGATCCTCCAAACACCCTTTATTTGGTGCTCCCTTCTCTATCTGAGCTGCCCTTTCCCCTAGAATGCCCGGCTGGCCTCTAAGCTATGGAGTAATCCTCCTGGTGCTGATCTCAGCTATTCTTGGGTATTAATCTCCTATTTTGTTACTTTATATTCCCCAGATGAATGCAATCTTTCTATGTCTATCCCTCTCTTTCTGACTCATTTCGCTTAGCATGATACTTTCCATGTTGTACCACTTGTATATAAATTTCATGACTTCATCTTTTCTATCAGCTACATAGTACTCCATTGTGTAGATGTACCAAAGTTTCTTTAACCAGTCATCTGTTCTTGGGCATTCAGGTTTCTTCCAGTTTCTGGCTATTGTAAAGAGTGCTGCAGTGAACAAACAAGTGCAGATGTCACTTCGACTATACCTTTTTGCCTCTCTGGGATATATTCCCAGGAATGGTATTGCTGGATGATGTATTTTTTTTTACCTTATCATAGGGTGAAATTAATTCAGACCTAAGATATATTATTTTACTTATATTTTGTGATGTTTCAGAAGTAGATCCAAGAGAGGAATTTAAGTTGAAGTTTCTTGTGATGGTGCTTCCAGGAAACACTGACAGGGAGTGGGGCAATGAGACAGAGAAGGAAAGCAGCTCATCACCAAGAATATTGACCATCAGACTCATTGATAATTACTTGGGATATAGGCTACAGAGGTTCAGAGTTGTCCCATGTACTGTATTGAAGAGTGGGGCATTGCTGTTAATTATCAAAAGAGTGTCCTAGACTAAGGGTTGATCCTGGACTGAACTAATTCTCAGGCTCTTCTGGTCTGCCTGGAGTTGGCTGGGTCAACACTCTCGAGAGTCACGAAGCCTGGCTCAGGTCTGAAAAGTTCAAGCCCTGCCTGTCAGGAACCTGGTCAAGACTTCTGACAGTGCTGGCTCTGTTCTCTCGAAGGTTCTGATTATGTGAAGTTCTAATTCCATATTAAGATATTTCCTAATAGATCACTTGACCTATAGATCACTTAGTTCTTTAAGTTCTCCAGATTTTCATTTTGGAAGATGTCTCTGTGTTCTTTGAATTGGACAAGAATAAAACATACACATTTACAAGAGTCTAAATGTTGATGTATTTTAGGGGTCAAATGTTACTACATCACATCCCCCTTCAAAATGCTAATATCTCTTTGAACCTTTTCAGCCTACTTCCTGATATTACCCTCTCCCGTTCTCCTGTCATTTCATCCTCCCTTAATAACCTCTATTGTATTTAACATTTTTAAAAAGATTTTTTTATTAAAGAGCCATGATTTAAAAAGTTACTGATAATTGAGTTTTAGCATACAATAATTCAACACCAATCCTTCCACTCATGTCAACTTCCCAGTAACCTCAGTTCTGTCTTTGGAATCTAAGGGTTTCAAATAGATTTTTCACAGTCCCCATGCTGAGTGTCTCACACCTTAAAACTTTTTTTTTGACTGTTCCTTTATCATCCCCAGGGAATATCCGTCTAAATCCTATAATCTTCATGTAATCCTTCTGAGCTTCTCCAAGCCTATTAGTGTGGACCTCAGATACCTGTCTGTCCTCCCGGGTTCCTAGAAGTTGATTGCCTTATGTCATTTTGCCTCTCCCTTTTGGCTTTGCTTCATCAGATATTATCTCATTTAACATGTTCATGCCAGCACGGAAGTTTGTGTTAATTTAACCACATTACAGTGCAAACCATGGGTGTTATGTTTCCAGTGTGAACTTAAGCGAAGAAAGTTCTCTTAGCAACTCTTAGAGAAAGTGTCTCCTTGTAGGAGAGTGTTCTTCATTCTATCATTCACCTGCCAGGTACATGGTTTGTGACATATGACTGAACTGATCATACTAGAACAGAAGGCCAGTAAAAGCTTCTTCTTCTGATTTGATGCCTTCTCAGACAGGCCTGTGTTCTTCTCAAGGGAAATTATCCCTCACAGTGCACCTTGGTTCTATTTATTTAAACCCCTGCATTGTACTCTAATTCTGGAGCCCCAAATCGAAGCACCATATTCAACTGTACTTTCAGAACAGATTTTAGAAGTTGCAGTTCTGAGAGACATTTTAGGTTTATTCTTCACAAGACACACATGGGGGGTTTCTAAATAATAAGCAAGTTTGACTAATCCAGGAATGGGAATTCCTTGAGACTTTATTGCTTTGTATGATCCCACTCATATTATGGCAATAAATAATTAAAAGAAGTTCTGGTGAAGTTTTTATTGGATGAATCAAAACAAACTGGGGGCTAACCCAGACAAGCAGAGACAGAGTGAAGCAGGTCTAATACTCCACTGTAGCTCTTAAGCTCTTAAGAAAGCTCAATGTACTTAGGACTCGGAAACTCTTAAAGGGCTTAAAACCGTTCAGCAGCTTCGGATTGCTCATAAGGTAAAGACCAAGTAGCCACCATGGCCCAGGCTCATCTCCTGCAGGCTCAGCTTTTGCCCAGTCATTTGGCTTTGCTTCAGCACAGGCTAGACTCCAGCAGTCCCCGAGCCTTCCACACGTGCTCCCAAGGATGATGGGTTTTTGCATGTACTTGTGCTGCCTTGGCCTGGAATACTGCATTTTCGGCATGGCATCTGGTTGACTCTTCCCCACCCTTCATC